AGGGGAGGGGAGGGGAGGGAGGGACTGCTGGAGCATGCTAATTAGCATGCTCCAGCATACTCACAGCAGACTTGATTAATTAAGTCTGCTTCTATACATACTAATTAGCACACATTGGAGCAGAGGTCCATCGTGTATAGGTACCCTAAAGGTGCATATCAACCTTGTGTTCTATTAAGAGCACAAGACAGACATACAATAGTTGCCATTTATAAATAAGCATTTATTCTCAGATAGAAATATCATAGTCCCTGTAATACTTCTCTTATTTCCTATGCTAGTAGGAAGAAACCATGGTGCTCAGATACAGAAGTATAGTAATTGTGTGTAAATGCTGCCTTTTAAATGGAACTTACTCTACGTAAGTAGATGATAAATAGACTAGATGGCAGGCAGCACCTTATCTTAGTGCTCATTCAGTTTTTTTTACCTTCAGTTTTTTTCCCTTCTTACCTTCAGGTTTTTCTTTCACGTTGTTTCCTCCTAGAATGCCCTATGCCTATCTCTTATCAGAGCACCTTCCTCACACAAAGGGTAAGGTTGTTTATTAGTCATGTAGAATTGATCAGGAGAGTTTCTGTTTCACTCAGTTGTAAAATTTTAAGAGCATGAAACTCATGATTTAAACCCAGTGGAGGGTTCACTTATTGCTATGTCACTGGACACCCAGAGTGAACGTAAAGGCAATTGCTTTGTCCAGACAAGGGTGACTTCAAGGCTCTGAGTTACCACTGGACAAACTCCCCTGCCTGAGGGATAGCCAGCACGAGTTTGTTGCAGGTAGGTCTTGCTTGACCAAACTTATTTCCTTTTACAACCAGGTGACCTATCACCTGGACAAGGGAGAAGAGATTTATGTCGGCCTGGAAGGAGGTAGGCAGTGGGGTCCTGCAGGGTTTGGTCCTTGGGCCAGTGTTTTTTAATATCTTCATCAGCAATTTGGATGAGGGTGTGGTGGGCACCCTCTCCAAGTTCACGGATGATATCAAATTATGGGGCAAAATTAATACACCAGAGGGCAGGGAGCAGATACAGGCTGACCTGGACAGGTCAGATCAATGGGCGGAACGTAATAGGACGCAATTCAACAAAGATAAATGTAAGGTGCTCCACCTGGGAGGGAGGAATCCCCAGCACACTTGCAGGTTGGGTGATATCCTCCTCAGCAGCTCAGAGGCTGAGAGAGATCTTAGAGTCATAGTTGACTCCAAGATGAACATGAGTCAGCAGCGTAGCGAGGCCATCAACAAAGCCAATCGCACCTTGTCATGTATTAGCAGATGCATGACCAACAGATTGAGGGAGGTGATGCT